CTTTTATTAATTTCCTTCTTCTTCGGGAGCTGGTGAAAGTGATAAGATATCTGGACCTCGAAACTTTACGCCAATACAGAACATGATAGGTGGGCGGAGCACTAATGAATTTCGGTTCGATGCCGTGCTACGTCCCATCTAGTCTGTAATCTCCAAATTTTAATTGGCTGGCTGACTGATAAACCAGAAAGTACTACCAGAGTCTCTCTCATCCTTACCAGTACTCCTTTCGTTGTGTTCTTATGTAACAAATAACCTGTTGAATTCAAACCTTTCTACAATCTAACTAAGTCATTAGGAAGGGATGGCAGATTTGAATAATCCAACTGATCCAATTGTGAAAAATTCACGGTGGGCTCCATAGGATTCGAAGCTACGCCAACAAGGGAAACATTAGTATAGCATAGCGTTGGCTGTGCTAAAGCCTCCACTTGTTAAAATGGGTTGAAATCCCACCGAGGCCCCGAATTTTTCACAGGTGAATCAAAATAACGCTTTGCAATAGGCTAACCCTATTTAGAAAATATAGGTATCTATAAGAAATTGACAGAGTTCTATTTCGTTTTTGAACGAAGTGCAATTTAATTTTTCTAACCATCGAAAGTAATGGAGAAACGGCGCTCGTTAATAATGGGTTTACGTAACTAGGGAAAGAGGGCCGGAAGTTGCTGATGCCAAAGCCGTTTTATTACCACACGCCTAGTAAATCATGTTTGGGTTTAGTGCAGGCTTAGTTGAAAATATCGTTTATGACTGCATTTAATTTCCCATCATTTTCAAAGTCCAGCGCCTTAGTTTTCGTCGACACAAAAACTTATGATCAGGGATCTCTAATTTAAGGTTAAGAATAATGGTGTTTTCCTTCGTTACGTGTTAGACACTCTGTTGTGTACATGTGAAGTTAATGGGCTCATTAATATCAAAATTACCGTAAATACGCTCACTGATGATGCGGTATCTCTGACGTTAGGGACACCTTTTATAAATGCATGGCTCTTAGCGAGTAATCATGATAGTTGAGAAGCAAAGTTGTTCACAGTTTTGTTGCTACCCGGAGTTTGCCAGTTATATGTAGCCATCTAACGATAACTACGAATAGGGCAGTTAGGTTAGCCCCTCACAAACTCCCTTAAAACCTGTCACTAAGTCTGAATAGGCTTAACAATGTGGGCTTGGACTTGGAAATAACTTACGTTCCCTCTTTATCAAAGCTTACATATTTTGGACGTCCGCGTCGACTTGGGATAAATAACTTTTGCTGTAATGTTCTCGGTAGAATATTTGACCGTCAGCCACTTATGCACTAAGTGGCCCTTCTAGGCATCTCGCAGTCGTTGAAGAACTCTGGCCGCAGCTAGTGCTGTCTGTAAGAATGGAAAAAACTTGGCTTGGACTGAGACGAAGTTGTTTCAGGTTTTAGTTTCTAAAAAAAGGAGGATTGAACAGAAAGTACGAGGGACTCGAAGAAACTAATATGCTTTCGCGTCAAAGTACAGACCGAACTAACAAGCAAGAACGTACACCGTA